TGGTATTTTGTTATGGCAACCCAAGTAGACTAATACAGATTATGACACACATCTTTAACTTATTAAAATCTAAAATAATTTTACTAGTTCTAGAACAATACAAGGATCTTAACATATCTTAAGTCTATTCATTCCCTCCCACTTTTTGTTCTATTTCACACACCTTAATTCTTACATATTAAAAAAATCTTTCCTATGTATATTTAAAACCCTACAAGACATTATTACTTTTGTCAGTACTCATTAAGGTTTAGCCATTTATTTACCTTCTCTGTTATTTCTGTGTTCATTTTTTTCTGCATTTCTAAAGCCCCATCTGTGATCATTTTCCTTCTGCCCAAAGAATTTTCTTTAATATTTATTTTAGTGCATATTTACTACTGAAAAATGCTCTCATTTTTTGTATATTTAAAATATCCTCATTTAACCTTCATTATTGGTGAGTATTTTTACTGATTGTAGAACTCTAGATTGGCTTTTCAATGCTGTAAAGATGTTATTTCACTTCTAACTTCCATAGTTTTGGATGAAGAGTTAGATGTAAGTCCTATGATAGCTCAAGTGAAGGTAATCTGTCATTTTACTTGGCTACTTTAAAAATTATCTTTTATTTACTATGATGTATTTAGGTGTGACTTTGTATTTATAGTTAGGGTTTTACAGAGCTTCTTGAATTTGTGAATTTATGTGCTGTTTCTCTGTTTTCCTAGGGCTTCAATTACAATTATGCTAAAATTTTCATATGCCCAAAAAATGACATACACTTTCTGTCTTTTCCATGCTTTTATCTCTGCATGCTCAATCTAGATATTTTCTTCTGATGTACCCTCCAACTCACTAATCCTCTCTTCATCTGGGTCTTGTACATTGAACTCATACAATATGTTCCTAATTTTACTTATATTGTTCAGTTATAAATTGCCATTGATTTTTTAAATATATTTCTATTCTTTGCAGAATTTTCCATTTTGTCTTTTATCTTTGAGTATATCAATCAGAGGTTATTCTAAAATCTAATCTGATAACTTCAATAACTGGGTTTCCCATGGGTCAGTTTCTATTATCTATTCATTTCTTTTTTCAAAAGAATTAAAACATTTATTTGAACAAAAAGGAGCTGCAGCCTCAGAGACACAGACTCACATAGCAATTGTGTTCCACTGAGACAAAACCATTCTTACAATGAAAGTTCCCACCCGAGGTCTCAATTAGGTTTGTATTATGTAAATGAGGTATACAAGTTGTGCAGGTCTGATTGGACAGGGCAGGTCTCAGTCCTTTGGAAGAGAGGAAACCAGGGTTTCCCTGCAGTAGTTGACCCGGATGGCATAAATAAGCAGGGCATAGAGTGGAAAGCTGAGAGTTTAATCTGAGGTTCCTCCCAGTATACAGAATATGTGAGAAGCCCCTGTCAGCAAATGGCCACTAGGCTCTTATTATTTACAAAATTTTGGCCCTTGGTTAATCATGGGGAGTCCATCTCAGCAGATAAATCCCTTCTCAGGGTTCACGTCAAACGAATGTTTCTTCTTAAGGTCTACAATATAATTTTAGTTCTAATTTGGACAAGGTAGAAGGTTAGGCTTCTTAACCTTCTTTTTAAAAAATATATTTTATTGACTATGCTATTACAGTTGTCCCAATTTTTCCTTTTGCCCCCCTCCACCTGGTACCACCATTCCGTCCAGCAATCCCCACACCTCAATTAATGTCCATGGGTTGTGCATATGAGTACTACTCTTGACATCTCCCTGTCTATTTTGTACCTACCAATTTATGCTTCTTAATCCCCGAACCCTTTCCTCTATTGTCCCCATGCTGCCCCAGCTGATAAACCTGCAAATGGTCTCCTCATCTATTCTGTTCCTGTTCTGGTTGTTTGCTTGGTTTCTTTTTTTAGATTCAATTGTTAATAGTTGTGAATTTGTTGCTATTTTAATGTTCATAGTTTTGATCTCCTTTTTCTAAATAAGTCCCTTTAACATTTCATATAATAATGGCTTGGTAATAATGAATTAGCTTTACCTGGTCTGGGAAGCACTTTATCTGCCCTTCCATTCTAAGTGATAGTTTTGCTGGACAGAGTAATCTAGGTCGTAGGTCCTTGCTTTTCATGACTTTGAATACTTCTTGCCAGTCCCTTCTAGTCTGCATAGTTTCCTTTGAGAAATCATCTGACAGTCTTATGGGAACTCCTTTGTAGGTAACTCTCTGCTTTTCTCTTGCTGCTGCTTTTAAGATGCTCTCTTTATCTTTAACTCTTGGCATTTTAATTATGATGTGTCTTCGTGTGGTTCTCTTTGGGTCCAACTTGTTTGGGACTCTGCTTCCTGGAGTTGTCTATTTCCTTCATCAAATTAGGAAAGTTTTCTTTCATTATTTTTTCAAATACATTTTCAATTTCTTGCTCTTCCTCTTCTCCTCTGGCATCCCTATGATTTAGATGTTGATACATTTGGAGATGACCCACAGGCTTCTTATTCTATCCTTTTATTTGTTTTTAGTTCTTTTAATTCTTGCTGTTCTGATTGAATGCTTTTTTCCTTCCTTGTGTTTCAAATCATTGATTCGATGCCCAGTTTAATTCTCTCCATTGCTGTTTTCCTATAGATCTTTCTTTATTTCACTTAATGTAACTTTCATTTCTGCCTAGGTTTTTTTATGTTGTTTCCATACTCAATGAGTTCTTTGAGCATCCTGATCACCAGTGTTTTGAACTCTGCATCTGGTAGGTTGCTTATCTCCATTTCATTTAATTCTTTTTCTGGAGCTTTATTCTGTTCTTTTATTTGAGCCATCTTCTTTGTCTCCTCAATTTGACAGCCTCCCTGTATTGGTTTCTGTGTATTAGGTAGAGCTGCTTTAACTCCCTACCTTAGTAGTGTGGCTAATTGTAGAAGAGCAGATCTGTAAATTGTGTAGGACAGAGCCTTACGTGACCACCAGGGTAGGACAAACTGTTTCACCATTTTGTGGCTCTGTGATGGGGGAGGGTTCAGAGAGGCAACAGTGCCATTGCCCATCTTCTGGAAGTTTGCCCCAAAGGAAGCTGTCTCCCAGCTCTCGCCATTTCCAGTGGCTTCACTTTTTCCCCATATGCCACTTGTGCCCTTCCAGCTGTTGCCCTGGTGCTGAAACCCAGAGGGGGTGGGTCTGCATAAGTCCTATGTTCATGTGGGCCCTTTAAGAGGAGTCTCCTGAGAATCCAGCAGTTTCTTCCACTGCTCCAACCCCCACTGGTTTTTACAGCCAGAAGTTATGGGGATTTATCTTCCTGGCACTGGAACCCTGGATTGTTAGGTTTGGTTTGGGGTTTGGATCCCTCACTTCTGAGGTATCCCTCCGGATTTTTATCTACCACACATGAATGTGGGACCACCCATTCCACCAACACTCCATGCCACTCCCGAAGCTGTGCAACATTCCCACAGCCCTGTGCCACTTCTCACTTCTCCACCTCTCTCTGTGTCTCTGCCCCTCTTACCCATCTGGATGAATGTGGCTTCTTTAAATCCTTCATTGTCAGATTTCCATACAGGTCAATTTCCTAATGGTTCTGGGTGATATTTGTTTTGTAGTCAATATAATTTTTTGTGTAGTTGTGTGAGGTGAAGCATGTTTACCTATGACTCCATCTCTGACCTTCTGACTGGGCTATTTATTTCTTCTCTTGGTTTTGGGTCATTTAGTCTTGTCTTCTGGTTTGCCTAGTAAATTTTGATTAAATGGTACATGTTGTATATAAAAAATTGTGGAACCAATGTAATACTGTGGATGATGCTATCTTTCTGCAGGGATTGTCTTTTTACTTTTGTAAAGCATTTAGTATAGAAGCAGACTGTCTTAATCTAGTTTGAATCAAGGTTGTATCTTTGTGACTGTTGGTGTTTTTTATTTGCTCTTACTGCTGGTATGACCTTTCAGAGGTCCTAACCACAAACCTAGGATATTTACTACTTGGGCTTCTCTGAGATTGCCAAAACTTTGCTCAGCTTTTTTATTTTTAAGTCACTATTTTTACAAGTAAATACTCTGAGGAGAATAATAGTGTGTTGTGGATGAAATGTTTGTGTCCCCAAATACATGTATTGAAGCCTTAACCCCCAATGTCATGGTAGAAGGAAGTAAAGCTTTTGGGAGGTCACTAAGTTTATCTGAGGCCTTGAAGGTGGAGTTTCCGTAATGGTATTAGTGCTCTTACAAGAGAAAGTAATACCAAAGTTTACCTTCTCTGTCACCACCTTGACTTCATCAGACTTCCAGCTTCCATAATTGTGAGAAATAAACGTCTGTTGTTTAAGCCTCCCAGTATATATATTTTGTTAGGGCAGCCCAAGCTGACTAAGGTAAGTGTCAACTGTCGGAATCATCTATGTGTCCCTTCTCTCCAGGACCTTACCCTCTCAAGTTCTCATTGCCTGGGTAGATCTCTGATATTTTAAGACATATTTTAAAAATTATCCAGCTGTTTTAGCTGTTTGAGGTAGGAGCTTTGGTTTGATCCAGGCTGGTTTTCCTGAGCCATAAGTAGAAGTTTCAACTATTCCTCTAGCATAATTCCTCAGCTATAATGATGGTTAGCATAAAAGTTTAGGGTATTGGATTTGAAGTAATAAATTCCATCTGGGTGGGCAAAAATAGAGCACAAATTTGTTCAGCTAACTGGAAAAAGTAGAAAATTATAGTTTTCTATTAAGGTAAATCATTCTAACTAAATTAGTATAAGGAGTTTTTTAGCAGTCTTTAAAAACATGGAATATATCACAGCTAACTTCCCAATATTTTTCCCCACAGTGAAGTATATTTTTGGTTTATAGCAGCAAGAATTAGGAGAGCTCCTAGCATTCCCACCCTCTACTGGGCTGTGGGTACCACTGTAGGATGTTTGCCAGGCCCCTAAGAAAATAACACGTGTGACTCTGCAACACAACACAGGCAAATTCACTCAGCAAACATACAGCAACCAAGTTTAAAGATTTTTATCTTACGTCTCCAAAAATTTCAGAATTTTTAAAGTGCAAATATCCATAAAAATTGAGATGAAAGAATAAACAAAAAAACCCATTTTCCATAATAGGGCAGAGACACGCTTCAGATAACTACCTGTCAAAAGGCCACTGCTGTTTCAAGCTTTGCTCTAACAGATGGTTCATGTAACATGGGTGAAAGGGCCAGCAAAGCACAAATTTTAACCTGTTATGGTAGCATATCAGGATAAACTGGTTAACCCAAAGGCCAGGTTCCATGCTGTATCTTGAACTGTCTGTCCTATAGGAAGAGAGAGAAGACAAATGCAGTTGAAAGGCTGAGGGTATTGACTGCAGGCATTCACATTTTGATGAGTAAATGGGCTGTATTCTCAAGGCTGGATGTAACTACCAGCAAATGTATAGCTAAGGCTACAAAGCAAAATGCCTTGGGAACCAGATGAATGGAAATAAACATGCAAGCCCAAGAGACAATTCCCTAAGAAGTTTATAGACTGGCTAATATGACCATGCTTTGGCCTCCAAAAATAACTGGGAGATTCAAGACCAACAGCTCAAAGTGGATGGTTAAGATAACAAAATAAGAGATGATGGCAGGAAGGCCATGAGGATCTCTCAGCTCCCTGGTGGGACACACTCAGAAGAAAAAAATGGTTCCAGGCAGGCTATAATCATAGAATCTATTGGTACCAAATGGGTCCTCCTTGTAGATCTAGTCTAAATATCTTTTGGAATATGAACTGACACCACCCAAGGAACTCCTTTTCACCTGTCAGGACTCATATCAAACATTAATACTGCAAAGCCTTCCATCCTTCCAGATGGCAGCTTTCTTCTTTGACATTTTATAATCTAGAGTATGAGCTCCATAATTTCAGAGGCTCAAGCTGACAGACCACCCTCAATGACGTTTCTTAGACGGACAAGTGAGGATTGATATGTGCAAAGTCACAGAGCAAGACATGGGCCAGTTGTGCTGAGCTCCTGCCCAGGTAGTTCAGTCAGGCTTTGATTTTGGTTCCCAAGTTTGAGAAAGCCCTGCACAAGTAAAAGACAAAAAAATCCCAACATAATACAAGATAGAGAAAATAATATAATGAACCACTGTATACCCTTTACTTATCTTATTTCCATCTATACCTTCACCCACTTTCCTTATAGCTACATAAAACTTCAGAAACAGCCCTGACTGGTATAACTCAGTTGACTGGGCATCAGCCCACAAAGCTAAAGGTTGTTAGTTTGATTCCTGCAGGGCACATGCCTAGGTTGTGGTCTGGCTGGCAACTGACTGATGTTTCTCTTCCTCTCTTTCTCCCTCTCTTCCCCTCACTCTAAGAATAAATAAATAAGATCTTTTTTAAAAACTTTAGAAATTCCAGATATCATTTCATCTGTAAATATTTTAGCATCTATTTCAAAATACTTAAAAATATTAAAATAATCAAATACTTGAACATATAACCACAATATTTTAATCCTGAATAATATAATACTTTTAAAATATCAAATATCCCATCATATTTATAATGTCACCTTTTTTCCTTTTTACCATTTGTTTAAGATTCAAATGCAATTATTTTCTCTGCAATTAATTGTTGAATAACTGGGCCTTTTGTCCTGTAGTTTCACAAGATCTACATAGTTTTTTATTATGCCTCCATAGTGTTGTTTAATTTGTTCCCCTGCACTTTGTGCATTTCCTGAAAGGCGGTGATTGATCTAGATGAGGCTTGATTGGATTCAGGTTTGATTTGTGTGTGTGAAGCGTGTCCAGACTACTTCATAACTGGTGCTGAGTTATTCCATTAGAAGGCACATTGTATCAGGTTCTCTTTTCATGGTGTTAGTAGCCCTTGCTGATAATGCCTAGACCCATTAATTCATTAGGAATGCAAAATGATGATATTTTACCCATCACTCCCCATTTATTAGCTGGGAATACCTGTATAAAGAGAAATGTCCACTCATCTGCCATATAAAACCATTTAACCAAGACCATGCTTCCTCTCAAATTAGAAACCTCTGCAGGAGGATGAATAACTTTATGCAAACCTTCATTTATTCTTTATTTTCTTGCCAAGAATTAACTGGGAGATGGTGGCCTGAAGGCTGCAGAGAAGAGATCTTTCTTGGCTCTCCCCCACCCCCACCCCAGTCACCCGCCCGCTGCGGGTCTGCCCACCCTGAGATTTCCTTAAGAAGCATTGTTCCGGGGCTTTGCTGTAAAGGTCTACCCTCTCTCCTTGAAAACATTGTCTCCTGTAATTAAGGGAGTTTCTTATTTGGGGGACAGATAAAAATTCATCAAAATTATATTTTTAAAAAGTCATAATCCAGAAGCTGCAAAGACCTGGCTCCAGGGAAATTCGGAATTGAGGAAGGGTGCCAATCAGGGCAGAATTTAAGACAACAGTTTATCATCTTTCATTCTCAGCACCGAGAATAACCCAAGGAAATGCCAAGTAAAAAAGTAAAACCAGCGATTGATTTTGCATTTTTAGAAACCGACCAAGTTTCTTGATCAAATACTGATTGCAAGTCTGACTCAAGGTTGAGCAGATAAAAAGAACCCTCCAGGGAGGGCAAACCCGCCCCCCCCCCCCCCCCCCACCCCCCGCGCCCCCCACACCCTTACACCTTAGCAGGCTACGGTTTTGAAAAACCGGACCCTGGCAATCAGAGACCTCACTTGTTCCAGGGCTGAGGCTCCGCTCCCAACTCCTGGCTCCTGTTAACATGCCCTTGGGTGCTTGTTGGCGCCAGGCTGGGAGGGAGAGTGGTCCCTGCATAGTGGACGCAGAGGTTAAATGGAATTTCTCCTCTTCTACTGAAAGAAAGCCTTCTTCCTCTTTAATTTCCTGAGTCTCAGGCTCCTCTCGGCTACCCCAGACCCCCAGGACTCAGGCTCCGGAAAAATCCTGGCTTCTGTCGGCAGCTCCTTCTAGGCTCCCACCAGGCACCCTGGTGGTTTGCTAGCTCATGGCGCGGCCTTGCGATTGTCTGTTTGTACCTGTTTCACTGGCTGCAAAGTAATAAAGTTGGAATGGAGCCTAGATTTGCAGAATCATCCGGGAAGGTTTCCCAAAGGGGTGGGGCAGGACATAAAAAATCCCGGATCGTAGCCCCAGGAGAACCGAGGCCCCACACTGTCCCGCCTCTCCGGCAGCGCCACCCTTGGGCCCAGCCTTAGAGCTCTCCTGCGGCCTAGGCGGTGGGGTACCAGTCTCCGAGCCGGTTCCGGGAGGCTGCGTGGGGCAGGCCGGCTGGGTGACCCCACGAGAAAGACTCGTTTCAGCAGAAGCAAGCGAAGGCCAGGCCGAAAAAGGGCTGTCACCCTTCTTGGGGCCTCTCTGATCCCCCTTCCTTGTACCACCCCCCACCCCTACGCAGCCCCACCGAGGTCAGGAAAACGCCCTCTGGCAGCCGGGCAGCCCGGGGTTATCGCCCTCTCACGTGGGCCCGCCCACAGGTTGCGCCTCCGGCCCACACCGGCCCTTGGCCGCGGGTCCAGGGCTCCGAATCCGCGGCGCCTCAGTTAGGGAAGTACGGCTCGACCTGAACAGACTTGAACAGACGATCAGACGCCACCGGGCAGCTGCCTCCTCCCCTTTCCCTTTTATGGTCCAGAAAAGCCTCCAGGAGCTGCAGAACTCCGGGCGACTCCGGGCAGAGACAAGAATTTGGGACGCTGCTCTGCTGGTGAACGCCTGCAGGCAAGCCAGCGGGCCGGGCCCACCACCCCCCTTCCCCCGCTGCGTAGGCCGCGGGCTGCGCCTCTGGGCCCCAGGCTGGGATTGGGTCGCAGCCGCGTCACCGCCAGCTGCCTCCGCCCAGTCCAGTCACCCGGGGGCCCACAGTCTCCAAATGGGTGCTTGTGCTGAGTTGCGGAGACGGGACACGGGACACAGGCGTGTCCCGAAGCCTGTGAGGACGGCGGAGGCCAGCCGACCCAGACCCGGGCTGTGTACCCACGGGCCCGGAGGCCTCAAGAGTCCACCTGAGCCTCTGAGGCTTGGGCTCAGGCCGTCTAGTCAGCGGGCTCTGGCAGCGTCTCCAGCCCTGCCCTGGCAGGTGTCCGGGCACGAGGGGGCCGGCCTTTGCCAGGCCAGGCTGCAGCCCTGCTGCCTGGAGGTCGGATACGGCCTCCTCTCCCCTCCTCCTCTCCACTGAATAGGGGACCTTTCCCACTGGGGAAGATGGGCACCACCAAGTCTCTGCCCCTCCCCAGGGCCACAGTGAAGCACAGGATGGGACGTCATGGTGTCTTATAGGCCTTCTGTGACAACAGAAACCTGGAAAACCGCCCTTTTTGTGAAGGCTTGCGGGTGGCCAAGATCGTTTGTCCACGACTGGCTCAATTCTCTGCTCATGGGCTCAAGAACTCCAGGGTTGTGCCAGGTGGGAGCGCATCAGGAAGTATGACTGCCTGGAAACCACCCACAGACACCGCAGGCCTCTGAGAGCTCGGGCAGCTTCATTGCTGGCCGGGTTGGTAGGAAACCAGCCTGAAGCCCAAATAAGAGAGGGCATCAGAAGTGTGAGCTCGAGTACTGACTCTACTGTCCCTTAAACTTGCATGACCTTGGTCAGTTTACTTAAAGTCTCTGAATCACCCAGGGTTCTCATTCATGAAAAGAGCCTACCTTACCTTCAGAGCAGAGAGAACAAAAGGAGACAAGAACATCTGTGGCCACCTTTGGAGCCCCATCCAAATGTACGGCACATTTTCTTAGCTCCTAGAAAAGAATAACTGCCAAGGTTACTAGAAAGGAGACAATCCCATCCCCAAAGGAAGAGAACTGAAATAAGAACTTCAGCCCTGGGTGGCATAGCTCAGTGGATTGAGCGCGGGCTGCGAACCAAAGTGTCACAGGTTTGATTCCCAGCCAGGGTACATGCCTGGGTTGCAGGCTATAACCCCCAGCAACCGCACATTGATGTTTCTCTCTCTCTATCTCCCTCCCTTCCCACTCTGAAAATAAATAAAATCTTAAAAAAAAAAAACAACTTCATGTTTTCTTCCATTAAATCACAACCCAATACTGGAGAAGTATAAAAATGGAGTTGTTAGAAGCCATTTTAACTTTCTATTAACGAAATGAGTGAGGGTGGACAGGAATGCTGGACACTCTGGCCTGAGGGAACATTGATTATGGAATCACACATACCATACCTGAGTTAGAGTCCTGCCTCTACTATTTAAAGCATCGTTACCTTAGATAAGTGACTTAGCCTCTCTGAGATTCACTTTCCTCACCTGCAAAATGGAGAAAATAATAGCACCAACTATGGGGCTATTGAGAAGACTAAAGGAGATAATGACCATAAAGTGCTTGGCATGGGGTCCCATACATTGTAATACAGAATAAAGGCTAGCCAGTGCTTTTCTATTATTCATGATGGTTCCTATCTTTTCTCCCTTACCAACGTCCTATTGTAAAAATTTCCAAATACACAGAAAAATGGAAAGAATTGTACGGTGAACACCCAAGCACGTTCCATTCACATTCTACAACTAACATTTTACTACCCTTGCTTCATCATGTATCTATTCATCCATCCATCTAGCCATCCATCTGTCCTGGTTACTACTGTGTGACAACCCCAAAACATAGTGACTTAAAACAACAGCTATTTTGTTCTGTTTGTGGATTGTGAGAGTTAGGAATTCAGACAGGGCATTGTGAGGTTGGCTTGTCCATGCTGTATGATGTCTAGGACCTCAGCTGGGAGCCCCTGATGGCTGGAAGCTGGAATCCCAGGGCGGGAGACTCAAGGTAGTCAAACTTCTTACAGGGCAGCTCAGGGCACCAAGTGAGTTCCAACAAACAGGAAGAAGCTGTATTGCCAAGTGGCATAGCATCACTTCCTATTGGTGGAAGCAGTCAGATTTACATAGAGAATTGGAGTCTACTTCTTGATGGTGAAGTGGCAAGACCACTTTGTAGAAGATCACATGGGACAGGAGCTCTTGTTGTGGCCATCTTTGGAACTGACCACATTTGCTTCTTTGTCCTAACAATTATTACGCAAAATGTCCATCCTAAGAGCTCCCCAAAGTCTCCTTTTATTAAAGCATCAGGCTCAAGCTCAGTGTCCAAGATTTCTTTGTGTGAATCAGGTCTAGGTGTGAGTAAGTTTCCTAACTAAACAGACATGTTATCTGGCTCCTTTCCTTCACCCCCTTACACAAAAGAACAGGGCAGGAATAGATAATCACAACAGATATTACTAAGCAGAAAGGGAGAAAATGAGGGGAGGGCTGGGCAACGAACTGTAACACTTCTTTGGGAGTTTTCTTCCATGGCTCTTAGTTCCGCCCTGGGGGATCTTGACCCTGCCCTCTAAGTCATCTTTCCTTCTCCATAAGAAATTATCTGCATTTGCAAGTAAGTAGCTTCCTGAACCTGCTTATTGCCCATAAAAGTGTGGGAAGTCAAAGGCCTCTTTCCATTTTGAATTGTCTCCTTCACTTTCATTCCAATCTAATTCAATTCCCTTAAAGCCTTTGTGGATTTCTTCTGTACCAGTTTGTAAATCCCCTCCATTAAACAAAAGCCACACTCACAAATCTTTTCAAAATCAGCTCTCTTACTGTGGGCTGTCCAGGAGGTTACTGTGGAACAAGGCCTTTAAAACCGTTAGAAATTTTATTGTTTAACAGAGAATCTGCAAAGCATGCCATCAATATCCCTCAAAGGCCTTCTGTCTAGTTGAAAGTGTCTACAAGGCACTGCCTATAAATTTCATGATGTCTTAATGAAGAGTTTTAAGGTTGGACACTTGCCTTCACCTTCACCCTGAGATGTTTTCCTGTCAGTGCCTTTGTCACAGGTGGGCACAGGTAACCAGATTCTTAGTGATCAGGACAAAGAATTGAACTGAACACCCAGAGTTTATAGTAGAGAACATGGGAGCAGGCCAACTCCAAGCAGAGATTGACCTCATGAGCTGGAGGGGCTCTATTCTTATAGGGCAGATCATTCCTGGCTACTTTTGGTGGGCTTTTCCTGCACATGTACAAGTAGTTGTATTACTTTAAAGCTACTGCACATGTGGTCTCCCATGATTTTCCCTGACTGGCTACCAGGGAAGAGGGTCCCATAATGCTACCTAATTGACCCCCGTTTCTCCTGGGGTCCCCCTGTACTAGGTTCACCTTTCCCTTCACCAGAGAATTATAGCTCTCCATGTTAGAGATTGGTGAAAAGGAAAGGAATTATTTATTCAAGTTATACAGACTTAAGAGTAATGACTTAATGTCTTCGTCGAAATCCCAAAGTTCCTTAAAACATCCACAAATACACACAGTCTTTTTTCCCCCCTTTGCCCAGTCTGGGGTACCATATCTCAGGAAAAGAAATAGAAGTCCATGGCTCAGGAAGTCTCCAGTTCTTCCCAGTAATCTGTGCTCAGCCGGTAGGCCTCCCTCGGTTCCCAGCACCATCAGCTGTGTTGCTGGGATCTCCAGCTAAAGCCACGTGGTGGTACTCTGCTAAAGCCACATGGTGAGTCTTTGCTAGAGCTGCATGGTGATTCTTCTCATGGCTGTGGCGGGGCGGGGGGTGAGGGGCGGTCCCCACTCTGCCAAAAGCGCTTGGTTCTCCTCACTGCCACAGCCTCAGGGTCCTCTCTGCACAATGGCCGCAGGAGTCTCCACTCAGCCAGAACCGCGTGGTTCTCCCTCCAATGGCTGCCGCGTCTGAGTTTAAATCCCCGCGCCAATCCTCCTCTGCAGCCCCATTTCCGACTCCTCCCACAATTGACCACACTTGCCAGCACTCCCATATCCTTCCAGCTTTACTGGGCTGCCATCATGAGTCTGGGCAAGCATGGACCCATGTCATGGAGCCAATCATCTCCAAGCTCTCACGCAGGCGCTGTAACTAGGGGGAGTTGCCTCTCAGTTACATCTTAGGGGAAAGTTCCTTCCATCTCCCTGGATCAGAGCATGGCCACAGCTATTTAACATATCTATGCAACCAGTTAAAGGTTATAGATGTGTTAAATGACCACACCAGAGGTTAGCTGTAAAGCTGTTGCTATGCAAAACAGCTCTCAATGGCCCTGCTCCATGTGTCCCTTCCCCCAACTCACACCTGTGGTGGAGGGTGGGGACATCCTATATATCTTTCTAATACTTCCTGTACACCTTGAGTTCTGGACCCCAAAACAAATCCTTTTTGTGGGGGAGCCCCTGGCTGCACCCTCCTACACCTTGGATTCGATCTTTTCCTGGGAAATCTTTCTATCTTGGAGAATCTTCTTCTCGGAGAAATTTGGAATGAGAAATTGTTTTTGAATCCAGCTACTCCTAACTTCTAAATTCTCCTCAATTTTATTTTTGAAACTGATTGTTTTCCTTCTTTAGTTCATCTCTCTCTATCATGCTTTGTGATACACAGCTGAAAGAAACCAGGTGATGCTTTCAATGCTGTGTTTGGAAACCTCCTCAGGCTGGGGGTAACTTGATGTCTAAGCGCTGGAAATAGCTGGAGGCCCTTTCACTTACATGTCTTGGCACCTGGGCTAGGATGACTTGAAGACTGAGACAACTAAGGGAAGTGACTGCATGTGGTCTCTCCATTGAGTTGGTTTTGTTGCAACATGGTGGCCCCAGGGTGTTGAACTTCTTACTGATGGCTCAGGGCTCTCAGCACAGTGTCCCTGTAAACAAAGTGAAAGTGTTATGAACTTTCCTGACCAAGTCTTGTAACTCATACAACATCATTCACACTGAATGCTGTTGGCTGAAGCCATGACCAGTTCACCAGACTTAAGAAGAGGGGAATTGGATTGCATGTCTAGAAAGGGGAGTGGCACAGTTGTTCTCTGTTGCTATGGTT